GCTGGGAAAAAAGATCTCAGAACTTGCATTTTAAATTACATAAATCCTAATTAAGGATAAAGATCCTTGTGGTTTCTCAAATGCGATTTTCCAACAAAAGTAACAAAAGTCTGGCTTAGTAATGTACTTCTCCCCTTCAGGAAAGAACTATCCAACATGAATTTGGTAACAGTCTAATACTTCCATACAGACCTTTTTAACAAGAATCTTCGTAAAATATTAGGCTTTGGATTTTTTTGTCATTTCCAAATGATGAAAAACTAAACTCGACTTATATATTAATACTTGCTTTTCATGTTTTGGAAGATCCAGATGTGTAGATCAGCATCCCCAGGGTTCCACTTGCTTCATCTTCCCTGTCTTTGTGATCCATTCAAAAGTGTAAATTGTTGGTATCTGCTTGAGGTTGATCCCAACTGTCCATGGGATAAGTGAAATTTGTTCATCTCTGCATTCCTTTTTTAGAAGAGCCAGCTTCTAGTGGATGATGGAAGCCTGCACACGAAAAAGCGAGTGAGCTGATGTGTCAGTGTGGGCCCACCCTCAGCTAGGTGCACACTGGGGAACGCTCTCCAACCATTGCCGCTTCTGCGGGTCCAGCTGTGCAGCATGGTTTGATGAGGGCAAGCTGGACTGTTAATTTGTAGCTATGAATTTGTATTTAAAGAGGCTGGTCACAGCTTCCTCAACTCCAGAGATTTTAAAAGGATGTTTCCTATGTTTATAACTATAGTTCAGAACAGCTAATTAGTAAGGATGGGGGGGAAGGAGCCTTCCTGTTCCCCACAGGCTACTCGCTGTTACCAGCAGGCTCCAGCACACCCTCCGCGCCTGCTTGGTAGTGAGCAGCTAGAGGAGCTGAAGTGTAATTCTTCATAGAGGTTCTGATCATTAAGGAAGAAAAAAATTGGGAGGGATGTTTGTCAACCTAGAACTCACACTGACTATAGCCAAGAAGAAGGGGTACGGCTTCAGAGTGAGTAGTAATTGACTGGAACCATCACAGTTATTCACAAGTGAATTCAGACTTTTGCATTTAATTCTCAGGCTTATGTGTGGAAACCAGTATGGTCAAGACTTGCCCGTTTCTGCAGGCGGTGTGTTGCTTTGGACAGCTCTTCTTGATGTAGATGTTGTTCCAGTCTGATTACATGAGCTAGTTCCTATTTGCATGCACGAAGGAAACATTGCTTATCCAGGGAGCACTCAGATGGAACAGAGTTGTTTTTCTCTATTGCTTCTCCTGTTCTTTAATGTTCATTTCATCTTATATACATATATTGCTACATTTTCTTCTGCTCTGGATAATGCTTTATGTAAATTGTTTCATGGGACAGTTTATATTTAAGCTTTATAGAACTGCCTTCACCATGCTATTACCTGATTTAGTAGCTGTGAATGAAGCATGTGAAAGATGGTGTAGGTGTTTGGGATGGATCCATGGTAAGGCTGAGTGGGAAGATGGAGTGGGAGGCTAGTGGGCATGTGAAGCATCTTCAGAGTCTGTAATGGTGGAAAAAAGGTGTTATTTTTGAAGAAGGTGAAACCTAGGAGCGTTTACTGCAGCTGGCAAGGAGGAGGAAAGATGTCAGGTACTCCTGGAAATACTACTAGAGGCATTAAGACTTCTCCAAGCATTTTAACATGGTAAGAGGTGATAAAGGTGGGCGTTAGTGTTCTGTGTTCTCTATACATATAGATTATCCTGGGGAGATCAGGATGCTGTTTGTATGTAAATGAGCCCAGTGGAAGAACAAGAGTGGGACTGCTCTGGAAAAGCCCTAGTGCAGCTGGCCACAGGGAGACCAGAAGCCTGAGAAAATCTGTAGCTCATCCTGACATGGATGTCTGGCTCTTGCTTTTTACTTCTTGCAATGGGCAGGAACAGAGAGAGCTGGGAGAGTTGGCTTTCTGCTTGGGAAGTGTCTGTAGGTAGCACTGCCACAGCTCATCTACTGGTGAGGCATATGGTGGGTGCAATATGTGACTGTTGTAAGAAGGCAATTTTTATTCTTGCAAGTAGATCTTGCAAATACACGGATCCTGTAAAACCTTTTAAACAATGAACAGTAGCAAAGACCACTGCCCATCTACAAAAACAGACTTGCATGCAGAAAATGTGTTTACATATGACGAGAGCAAACAAGCAACTAGACTATGGTTGTGTATCTACCAAAAATGAGGCCATTCTCTGTATCTTGTGGATTTTTTCCTCCTTCCTTCCTTCGACGGGTCACAAGATACCCATTAAAATGCAATATGATATAAGCGATAAACTTGGCACACTGGATGTTTGTGCTGTAAAATAGAGAATTATAGCCGGTGTTTGTGTATTACCCTGAACTTAAAGGGACTTCAGAAGAAGAGAGTGTTTGCTTGACTAACTCTCTGAACTGGAAAGCAGTCATATGATAGCATAGTTAGCTGGAGATGGAAGACAAAGTTCATCTTTATGTTGGCAAGCTATACTTTCCAGTTGACAGAAAGGGTAGAAGAGCAGCTTCTGAGTACTTTTCTACTTTTGACAAGTAAGAAGCTGAAGGAGTAACATCAAGTCTAAGAGGGAATAGCCACCCTGCAGAGGAGGATCATTTAGCCCAGAGCAAGCAGCGCAAAGGCTGTATGTTATGCTTCCTTAAGTGGCCTTGCTAGGCTGTGCCGGCGGCACCTCCTGCAGCTGCAGCCCCTGGGGGACTCTCATTCCAGCTCTGCTTTCCTTCCTCTGTGGTGCCAAACCTCTGTTTGTGGTTTCAAGTAATACTTTTGGGCAAGAACTATTTTTAACTGGTACCATATCAGTGATCCAACCAAGAGTCAAGTGAGTGGTAGTGCCGACAAGGTGAGGGGTGGGTAGTGGCGGAGAAAGGGTGCCCCTTAAAGCACTGTTGTAGTGGAAATGCATGGTTAATACTGTTAAAAATACCTCTCTTTAATGGTTTAATAATTGTCTCTTACCTTTCTGAAAATTGCAAATTATAGTTGGTTGGTTCTATTAATAGTATCTACAGGAGGGAAACAAAAAAACCTTTGAACATGGCAAGTGTAACTTGTCCAAATGCAACTGAAATTGATAGGAAGACACGTTTGATTGAATAAAATTGCCCAGGTGTTCAGAATTTTCAGTCCTAAGTTCTGTATGATGCTGAAGGTTGAGGTTTCCCTGTGGTTCAACTGTGTCTCTGATGTTGTCATAGACTTAAGATGTCCTTTATGTTTTGAGAAGATCTGAATTTGACATGCCTTATGAAAAGCTCTGTACTTATTTTGTATTCAGCCTTGTGAGTTTGTAAATAAAAAATAATAAAAAAAAAAGCCCCCAGTTTAGACCATACAGCTCTTCTAATGGCATTATATTGATTACTGAAAATTGCCATAATTTTAACCATGCCTCTTTTCAGTTTAAGGTAGGTTTGTTACTGTTTGATCTCAAGCACTGATTTCCGTGTGATTCAGGTGGAAGGTCTGATTCCTGAATTGTAGTAAAGCAGAAAGTCCCATTGTTATCTAGTTGTACTGACTGAATTTAGAACGTACTTTTAAATTTTTGATGTGTCTGTGCATGCTCTGTGTGTTCTTACTTGGAGCAGAAATCAGAGGCACGGATGTCAGTGGTCTAGTCTTCAAGAATCCTATAAGGCTAAGAAGATAAGGGAGAATATTTTGAAAGTTCTTATTGATTTGAAATTACAAAGTCATCCTAAAAAGTACACTGCTTCCGTGTTATTGTCACTGGCAGTACAGCTCAGTTTGTCAAATTGCTGCTGCTGCAGAGACTGCCAAATAAGTGTCTTCTTCCTGGCATAATTCTTCTTTTCCCATCAGCTCCATTTTGCAATGCTTCACTCACATTTCAAGTTCTATCTTCAAAAGAAATTATTTGCAAAAAAATGGAACATATTCATATAAATCAGGAGGTGGTTTTTGTATATAATACAGCATTCTAACTTTTATCCACTGATCTTGGATACTTGTCCCTACTCTATTCTAATGCTACAGCCTTCTTTTTTTTTTTTTTTTTTCCTGAGATCTCTAATTAGCATATTCTGGGTGAAGTCGTGCACTATAACTGCCATAGCATGAAGTGTTCATAGGTTGATGGATGGATGGCTTTAATGATCTTGATTCTTGCCCGTGGGAAAAGCCAGAAATGATGCAGGTATAATTTAGATAACTCTGGGATGAACTACCTAAATTGAAAACCTTATCCTCTGCTGCCTTGGGCAAGAATCTTTCCACCACGTTAATAATTTTTCTTGCCTTAAAGGCCTCTGTTAAAGGGTTCTCCTAAGTTCTTAGAAGAAAGTCCTGTCCTGGAGTTGAAGTGGTAATGCCTTTTAAAACTGCTGCTTTTTCCTTGGCTCATGGGCTAGAAGTGTTGTTCTGTATTACACTTTTAATGTGTTGCAGAAATCTAGAACGATGAAATTTTAAAATAGGTAAAAAAGAAGAAAATTCTTGGAAGACCGTAGGAAATTTTTCGCATGAGATGTGATGTAGTGCTACTCAGTTGTAAATTTGGATCATATTGCAACGTTTATTAATTGGGTCATATATCTGATGCCAAGTTGCAGATCACGGGTATTTCATAAAGTGGTAACAGAACTTGAAAAACTAGTTTTTATGTTTAAGAGCAACATACATTTTACAAATGTTTGACAGTCGGAAACAAATTCTTGCAACTTAGTAGTTTTGAGCACACATCAGTTAGGAAGATATTTTGCTTTTTATTATTCTCAGCGTGGATGAGCTTAATTAAGTCTTCATAGACCAGGTTTTGTAATTCAGCACTTTTACTGTAAGTCAGAGTTGAAATCTATGCAACCATTTTCTTCTATAGTCAAAAAAGAGCACACGGAGCTTTAATGTTATAACAAATATTACACAGTAGGGCTCTTCAGTCAGTCTGGGTTGTGGATTCATGAAAATAAAAGGAAGAATTCATTAGGCTATCTGTCAGAACTGTAAAATGAAATTCACTTATGGTCTATGTTTCTCTTCAGATCTCATAAATGGAGCCCAAGAACAGTGTGAATTGCCTCCTATGGATGGTTTTCCTCACTGTGAAGGGAAAATAAAGGTAAGTGAACTGGTTTTAATCTTATTATGTGTGTTCTGTTCAAAACTGAACATATGTTGCAAGAGGTCACTACTCAGATGATGGCGTAGAACAAGAGCAACTGGATCAAAAAAGAGGATATTTAGAAGCGTGTGTTAGTACAGTATTGCTCACCTCAAGCCTTTAATACTACTGTTGCAAAGAAATAAAGTGTTGTCCTATTAAGACAGGAATAAAATGCCATAGTATATTAAAATCCTATATTATTTAATAAAATGCCTTATTATTTGAATGCTGTCAGAATTCAGAAACTTTCTTTCCCTTTTTGAAAAGCCCTGATTTCTTCCCCATTATGAGTCATTTGGCGTTCCCCTACCCCAGGCCTGGGATTCTGTGTGGACCTCGCTCCAGCCCTTTCTCTGTTCCAGCCAGATACTTGTTTACGCTTCTTTCCCCTCTTTGCCAGCAGCTCTGTCCGGTTCCTCCCTTCCCCTTTTCTATTAAGAGCATTCTGCCTTTTCTGCTGACAAGCTAGGCTCTTCACTAAGCTTCCTACCAGAACTTTGGGGTTCACAGCTGATTCTACATAAATCCTGAATTTTACTCATAATGCAGTTGGAAAGGCCAAATATTGAAAGCCGTCAGACTTTGGTTGGAAAGTCTGAAAAATAAGAAAAAACCCACAAACCAAAAACTTGCAGAGATGGAGATTATTGGGTTTTTTTTCCCCAAGAGACATTTCAAATGTAAGGATGCTGTTCTAGTAGCGGGGGACAAAAGTAAAATTGCTGGACACTTAAATATTATTATCAAATATTACAATTTATTCATGAAAATGAAAACAAATAACTACCAAAGTATATATGAAATTATGTTGCCTTTTTTCTCTAAATAAAATTCTTAGAAATAGTATTTTTAAAAAAAAAAAAAAAATCTGTAAGTTTTAAATCTCTGGGCTGTGTTTTGATCCGTTTTGACAAACTGGCTGCATAGTGACTGTGTAATACATTATTTGAATATTAAAATGTGAATTTAAATTAATTACTTGCTTCTGCAGAAATGGCAGATTCTTGGCAGAATCAGGCAGATTTCAATCTTGGGAACTGAAATGATCTGTTCAATTCCAGCGCGAGCGTAACACAGGGGAGCAATGCAGTCAGCTCCAGCCACACCCATATGTCTGAATCCTGATTATATTCTCCTTTTGATATTTGTCTGTGCTTGCCTGGCTACCACTTACTGTGCTCACGTCTGGTATGTAGTAGCTGAACGCAGAGATGCAGTACGCCGCAAAATATTAATAAAATCCCTTTTTGTTATTTGTGATTTTGCCTCGTTGGATACGGCCGCTTGCAGCTTTCCGCTGTTATTCCCGAGTTTGGTGTGAATAGTATAGAGTTATTATGTGGTACTTAAACCTAACAGACTGTCTTTTTGTTCTGTTTCAGTGGATGAAAGATATGTGGCGATCGGATCCCTGTTATGCAAGTTATGGTGTAGATGGGTCCACGTGCTCCTTTTTTATTTACCTCAGTGAGGTCAGTAATCTTTTAATCTGCAGAAGGGGAACGTCATAGTGCCTCCATAGTTTTGGTGACTGTTTGCAGACTTCTCAAAAGAAATCATAACTTTCTTCAGAAAAATTCTATAAAGAAGAAAAAGCTGTTAAACCAGAATTATTATGAAGTGTGTTGCTGTTATTCATAAGTCTTCCAGGGGTTTCTAGCCTGGAGAATTCTAGTGTTTATAACTGAAGTGATGTAAGCAGCAGCTCTCCAGGGAGTCCACACTGGGTATCCTGTTAAACCATAGATCTTTGCCTCTGAACACTTTTTCTGTTGCTTTCTGTGTAGCTCCTGACATAGTGATAGGGAGGCATTTTAGGGGAGGCATTTGGAATGTAAAATTTGGAAAGTGGAACTAGATGATACATCTTCCTAAGCGGCATGGCTCCTTCCTGCTTGGAGGCTGTTCATGGGTTGCAGAGTCTGTTAACAGAAAACATAAAAACCTGAAAGTCACGTTTCTGAGTGAAGTTGCAGGTATATTGGCTAAAGCTTATGGTACCTATTGCAACCAAAGGCCCCGTTTGGTACACAGCTGCGTAAGGTGCTTGCCATGGTGGTTTCTGTACAGAATTCCTGTTTGCTGAGTAACGCTTGTTTTCCAAGAATGAATTTTGTTAGTCAATTATTATGAGCTCTATTACTGGCTTGTAGCATGTGTGCCAGAAACAGTCAGGTGTATTTGATCACTTGACCTCATCTTTCTTATTAGTAACAGTTTGATAACTCACAGCAACTGATCTTGGAAATGGTATTGATATCTAGGGGCTTACTGCTTGTAAAGAACTGCAAGAGCCAATGCGGCTGCCAAATTGCAAACTAATGTTAATTTTGTAGTTTCTGCAGGATTGGGGGGTTGGGCTGGGTTTTAAAATTACATATATGAGATTAAAACAGTAAGTAACTCAGTTGTAATGAAAGCAGGTTCTATTAATTTACTCAGTTGACTCAGTTGACTGTCATTGAACTTTTGCGGGCATTGCTTGAAGCGGTAGTAATAGTTAAAAGCATATCCAAAACACATATCTGAAGAAATAAAAAAAGCTGGGTTGAATCACAAATTTGACTCATTCAATTGCTTGTACCGAGTGTTGATTTATTTATGGGCTATAAAGCTGGGGAAGGAAAAGGTACAGGATGACTATATTATTTATCCTGTTATTTATCACAGAAACTAGAGATACGGTTTCATAATCATCTTAAGATAAGGTGGTGTAAGTTTCTACTAAAAGGTTATGTTCTAGCATCAGCGGAGTTCTTTTGCGCATTAGTATTCTGTCAACCAGCAGGTGCCTGGTGTTTTTAATGCAGATGTATCTTAAAAATGAAGATACGTGTCACTTGAACATAAGATCTAATATTCTTAAATTACATTTATTATTTTTTAATTCTGTTAAATCACAGTATTTTCTGTGACAATCTCTGATTATCAGTTTTGAAAACTCAGGTGATGCTGCTACGTTTTTCATAATTATCTTTCAGCTCATCCTCATGGCAGTATGCGAGCAGATTTACAGAGGCCAAATAATTGTTTTTTTCAAGGGTCGAGGGATTTGCAATTATTCTTTAAGCAACAATATTGAATTTGGGCAACTTCTCATTTCGTGATGGAACAACAACACAATTAGTTTATGTGTATATTTGGTAACTTCAGACAAAGGTCTTGTACTTTTTTTTTTTAAGTGCTTTCCCATGACTGAATGTAAAACTCATATTGGGTGAGCATGTTATTAACCTTGAGTTTAAATTTGGCATTCTTAATCCTATGATTAATTCCATGATTAATGCCCAGCATCAGAGGTTGAAAGCTTAAATGTTTGCAAATGCAAGCATGAAATGAAATTCTAATAACACTACAATGATGTGGATTTATGAGGTGTGTTGGCTGCTAAGGATAACTTGGAAATTCTGTTGCAAGAGTAATTTATCAAAGTGGACAGTGATGAAGAGTTGACAATTTATAGTATGGTTGCACAGCTTGAATGATAAATGTGTCTACAGAGCTCTCTAGTCAAAACTGCTGATTTAAAATATGAAAATGCATTAGGGTACTGGAAGGATATTACTGTTAGGATTTTTCTTTTTTACTTTAATGTTACAGTATAGGAGTAAGATGGTTGTTTGCCCGCTCTGTGTAAAAAGACAATATATGCATCAAATAATGCACAGTCTCAGTTTGAAAAGACAGAATACGTATCAAAATATGCATATGTCTACTTTTGCTTTTAAAATCATCTCTGCAGTCTAGTGTGACAAGCATCTGTGCTCTTTCATACTCTTTTGGGATCTACTTTTTTCTTCCAAAGGAGTTCAGTTAAAGTATTACATGATGCTCATCTAGCTCTCTTTGTACTACAATTTTAACGTGTAAACAAAGGAGCCCAAACTACATTTTGGTGTGTAATATGGGCCAGAACCACAGAGACGCAAAGTAACTTTCCCACAGTTTATGCAAAGGTTTAGAAACAAAGCTTGGAATAAAACCCAGTCTTTGGGTATCTGTTGTGTGCCCTTGCTATGTTTCAGCCACGTATGTTTGCAAAATAGAAAAGAAACAGCGTAGTCAAAATCAAGGCTGTCCCAGGTCTCCTCTTCTGAAGCGCCTGCACAAGTGCAAGTATCAGTTCTGCCTCCTCTGGTTTGCTTTGGATGCCACTCCTGCAGGAATGTGGGAAGAGCTAGCTGAACACCTCCACTTTTCTTGTGTCTTGGCTGCTTGAGCAGAATGGGCGGCAGAAGGAAAGCAAGAAGCAATCCGGCACGTCCAGGTTTATGGTTTTTATTGAAAGCTGTCCCCTGTACAGACTGGCAGATAAAGCTGCAAGGATTTTTGCACTTCCATCTTGCTGGTTTGCTGCAGGCACTGGATCGCTCCTGGTGGATGATACGCATCTGTGCACTCCTCTTAACACTAATTGTGCTGGAGTCTTTAAAAACTGGAGGAGACACAAATGGCCTGAATAGCAAAACCAGACTTACATTCTCTTGAATTAAAGAGCATGACAGATGTTAGAAGTAGCAAAAATTGAAAAGCGAGTTAAGCCTTCTCTAAGGTTTCTGGATAGTTGGGACTTGTTTCCTTTTAACCGTGATACAAACTTGCCCATTGACAAGTTACTTCTTTTTAAACTTAGCATTTAGTTATGAAAAAGTCAGTTGTTTAACTCTGTAATGTCACTGGCACAGTTACAATTTTCACGGATGGCATTGCCTCTGGGGAAGAATGTAAAAAAATTCATTTCTAGACAGTACAAAAATATATTTCACTGCAAAATGTCAGTTTGCAGCTGAAGAATGAAGCTTTTAAAAATATCTTCTAGAAAATGAATTTTTCACACAGTTGCCCAGCTTAACCAGAAAAAAAACCCCAAAAAACAGCGGAGGGGTCTTATTGCTCCTTTTCTTTATCTAGATATGTGCTTTCTCTGATGGGACTGCTAGCCACACAGGAATGGGACTGCTGCTGTGCTTGCTGGTCAGCCAGTAGCTATGATGCAAGTTACCACCATCACCCAGGGGTCATTACATTGATGCTTACCTGCTGGAGCTGGGCAGATCTCATTAAAATCCCAGGCTTTGGATCTCCAGCTGGCCTTTTCAGGTGCAAGCATAATTTTTGGTACCCATCTTGGGAGTGGACCCAATGCTTCAAAACTATCATAGAATGGTTTAGGTTGGAAGGGACCTTGAAGATCATCAAGTTCCAACCCCCATGTCATGGGCAGGGACACCTCCCACTAGACCAGGTCGCTCAAAGCCCCATCCAGCCTGGCCTTGAACACCTCCAGGGATGGGGCATCCACAGCTTCTCTGGGCAACCTGTTCCAGTTCCTCACCACCCTCAGAGTAAAAAATTTATTCCTGATATCTAATCTAAATCTCCCTTCTTCCAGTTTGAAGCCATTACCCCTCATCCTATCGATGAGTCAAAAGACTAAAACTGTTTCAAACACCAGTCTTGGAGGCTTCTGTAGCTTTTGTGCGTGTGCTAGTGTACCACTAGAGAGAATTCTTGTTTTCAGTCCTTCAGACTTGACGGAAACAAAATGCATGGCTTGGTTGCAGGAATATTTTTCTTTATGCTGTGTTACTTTTGCTTTGAGGGATAAAGCAGAAAAATACAAACCAAAGGTGATTTTGGATGTGGGTTTGTTTCCAGAATGCAAGCTGTAGTCTGAGGCACATTTTAGTGAAAACACCTGGGAATCATAATTATACAGGTTCCTCAAATCCTTGTGGTTTTGCTAGTTAACTGCAATTTGCTCATGTCTGTGTGGAAGTCCCCTTTCCACAACTTCTGCTGTGTGTGTAAGCTAATTTCTGACATTGAGGCAAGTTAATGATTTGCATTTCTTCAGTGTCATGTAATGTCAAACCAGCTGCTTTGAATTCTACACAATGACTTAGAAAATTGACAAAAATAGTATTGTTGTCTGAAATGTAAAGCAGCAAAACTTTGAACTCATTTAGTCATCTTACGTGTGTCCCCAAGAAATTGAAATGCTGATGATAGTCAGCACTTAGTCCCCAAATCATCCAGTAGCGTATTGGCCTGGGCGATTTGACCAAGTCCCTAAGCCTTTCTCCATATTTAGTCATCTTACATGTGTCCCCAAGAAATTGAAATGCTGATGATAGTCAGCACTTAGTCCCCAAATCATCGAGTAGCGTATTGGCCTGGATTTTGGGCGATTTGGGCTCAGTTATCTTTTCTACTTCTGCCTCTTTAAACTGGGATTAGTCTTTTTCTGTCGTGTTGGAAAAGGCGTAGATGCCAGTGTAAGAGAGGAATCAAATTAAGTGCACATTACCAAAGTTTGGTAAGAGACCGTTTGTTGATTGATGCTTATGTATGAAAGTTCATGTTGCAGTGTCACTGGGACTGCGGGTACCTAACACCTAACGTTTGAGATTTGCCTTTGGAAACAACCAGATCTAAAGTTACCTGTACACTCCTCCATCTCATTAAACTG